CCCTTTGGCTGCCGCATACTATATACACATGTAATCTTTAATATTTCTTCAGAAAAACTTACCCAATATTGGGTAAGTTATGCAAACCAGCAGAGCAAAAAGCAAGCATACACTATTAAAGAGAATAGTGGTGCAATATAATACTGCACTAGCAGCACCCCGGACACCTTTGAAATAATAAAAAGAATTACGTAGTGTATTTTCATTTTTTATTATACTTTGTATTTATCTGTGCTGTAAAATTACAATTTACTGCACTCAGATAATGGCTAGATTAAAAATGTAATACTAGTATTGAACTAGAAGAGTTTAATTAGGATTGTTAGACGGGAAGAGGCATGTCCTAAGGCTTAAGCTACAGGTTTATCCTGTTTAAAATTGGCTAACTTAGGTGACCCTCGACTCAGAGAGCTTTATTGCTTGAATCGGTTCCAGGTGTGAATGGAGCAAAATGCTGATAACCTGAATGGTATGTGTAAATGTGTGAGATTTTGCTCACTGAGTGATCAAGGGTTGGAATGTGATAATAATATTCCATATTAATTAAGAATGATTGATTGATCACTATTGAGCAAATCAAACTATTATAGATAGTCAAGATGGCGCCGGTACACAGTACTGAAAATGTTAATAACCACAAAACACAGTCATGCATAGCTTCATGAGATCGTTATGAGAACAGAGCTAGCTTTTTAGATAGTTATGAGAACAAGGCTAATAACCGCACAGATCTGACAAAACATTGTTGTGGGATTGAAAGTATGGCCAACTGTAAGGTCCCATCCAACAATTTTGCAAGGTTTTTGCTGGACTGCACTGATAGGAAGATTTGGTGGAAAAATACAGACTATTCACCCCATTGATTATTAATAACTTATAAAAGACGAGAAAATTTGTCTTGACAGTGTGCCGAAGAGCAGGGGCGGACTGAGAGCCTCTGGGGCCCCCGGGCAAAATTAGATCCCAGGCCCTTTGAAGGCCAAATATACGTGCATTAAATAAATGTTAAATATAACTCATAATACGGCATTCCTTTGGATGTGTATATTGTCAAGACCTGTGTATCAATGCATGTTTGTATTTGAGTGTGTGTGAATGCACTTGTGCATGTCTGGATGACTACATATGCTTTTTTGTATATAGTGTTGTTCTAGATAATTTACTGCAAACCAATTAGTTTGAATGACTATCTGTTCCTGTCCAAATTAAAGATAATAAAGTTGCGTGCACGCAGAAGTAAATTCACACTGAGACACAAGGTTCAGGGTAATGAAAGAACTTCAGAGAAGTTTAATGGCTTCTGACAGAAAATGGGTGCGCAGACCCTTATAAAGGCATTATTACATCATTGAAGAAAATCAAGATAACAGCAAATAGACACTATTGATTGGTCCAGGTGTTAAGTGGTTAGTTAGGTACCCTCCTATCAAGAGGTGATGTCATCCTTGACACGGGAGTGGACACAAGATGTAGGCGCCATCTTGTTAGCACGAGGTGTTCACTCGATGGGAGGGGTGCTTTGGCAGCCATCCATTTAGAGTGTAGCTGGCACGGTTAGTTTCTCAAGGTTAGGTTTCAAGGCTTTTAGTAAATACACATTTTATCAAAGCTATTTCTTGCTGACATGCAAATTCTATGTTCTATAGACAAAGCTTTCTTGTAAAACTATGGGGGCCTCTTAGAGGTATAGCAAGAGGATTTAAAGGGGCCTTACAGATTTATAGAGGCCTAATAATTCTACAACAGTCCCCCCTAAAATGTTATTTGCTAAAAGACAAAACTTTATTTGTTAGTATCAGAAGAAGTATTAGCCCAAAGACACAGAAACCCCATGACCGCTGACTTAGTGTTAATGCAAAGTGCAAGTCTATCCCTCTCTTGACCCTAACAGGCTGCAGCACATCCGTCAGTACGGTTCAGGAACACTCTTCACTCCGCTGGTAACCCATAGTGGCTTATCCACTACTTCTCCGTACGGCAGTCTACCCATAAAGACGGACGCTGTCCCTGTACTGTCCCTTCCTAGACTTTCTGCACTTCATCAGTATAAGGGAGAGTTTGTAGCGGAATACAGGGTGAGATGAGGTCTTGATCATCGATTGTCAGATGAGTGAAGGTTGGTGTTGCTTGGTCTACAGTTTTCTGCAGGAATTTCCTTAGGCATGGGAGGACACAACAAATGAGAAGAGCGAGAATAAAAAGAAAAATTAGTAAGGCAATACCAATCTGGACTAAAGCTCTCTGCCAACCAGTCATCCAACCAAACCATTTTTCCCAGGGATCAGTAACTCCAGAGTTTCTCTTTAACTCTTCTGAGAGTCTATTTAATTTAGCTATGGCCAGAGTGACTTTACCATTAGGACCTGTGTTTTCTGGAATGTAAGTGCAACAAGTCATAGTGTCGGGAAGTATTTTACAGACCCCCCCTTTTTCGGCTAAGATCATGTCTAAGGCCAGTCTGTTCTGGAAGGTCATTTGGGATGTGGCCTGTAATTGCTCGGCCAAGCCCTGGAGGGCATCCCTGGTGTAGTTCACGAAGCGCTGTTGGTTGTAATAGATATAATTAATCCAATTAAGGTTTTTGTTGGCAGTGACTATGGTAAAGAGTGATTCAAAACCTACAGCTACTTCATCTCTAGCTTTAAATTCATTAGGTACCCCCCTAGGCACCCCAATGGCATCTATGTAAATGTGGGGGTCAAAACTGCCTTTTACTGGGGTTTCGCGCCTTACTCTGGCTGATGTATGTGGAGGGTCGTATGTGTCATGATGATTATCAGAAATAATATGAATGGGCATGATAACTTTGGCCAGGGTACACTCACCCCACCACTCAGTTTCCAGCCTAGATCTTAACTGTAGATCCCCACATAACCAGTAAATATCCCCCAATGACCTGGTATGGTGTTGCAACAGGCGTATAGGAACAGTTCTGTAAGTGGCGCAATAACCTTTAGAAAAGTTACCCATGAATTTACCAATCCCGTCATACATGGCATAACAAGTGTAATTACCTCTATAGACTGTGATTCCATCTGGTGGTTTAACATTTTCAACTAAGAGAGGGTATTCTGCCGTCCATGCCATGCAGAGGGACCTATTAAAGTCATATTGGTAGGCAAAAAGGCTTAAGAAGCAATCTTCTATCTCTAAAGGGAGAGTTAGGGGGACGGTGCCAAGGTGGGGTCGGGCACCGCCACATACATAACATGCTGTTTTATTATGTTTGTTAGCATTATACCTCATCCATTCTAACCACAAATTAATGTCATTGAATCCAGTTTCAGCGGCCATGGTATCTTCAAAAGTTGGGTTAGCGATGGCCATCATATCTTTAAAGGACTGGATATGTGGTTTTAGCGGATTTGGGACCATATGATCAGCCCCTTGCCACTCTGGAGAGTGGGACATATCTCTGAGGTAGAAATGACCTAATTTGTTGTAGGAACCTTTCTTCCAATACATTCCCATTACATATCGGTCTGCATCCTCGGGGCCAGGATGTTCAATATTTAACATTAATTTCATAGGGGTACTTCCTCCAGGCTTTCTTAAAGTCATTCTTTGAAGGAGGGATCTACCCTGATTGTCTATCTTAGATAAAGCACTTTTGGGTTTATAACCCCAGGCAGGCCCAGTATTCCATCCCGCAGCCCCCCAGTAGTTACAGTCATAACCCCATTGTTCATCTACTACACAAACGTAAGGGTCTTTTGCTTGTGGTATATCTTTATAAATGGCTTGAATCTGTGACTTAGGGAATGGGCACTCTACAATATCACAGTAATCAAAAGTGAATGTAGCCACATGGGTACATGATGAATTATACCAGAAAGTGTACCCACTAGCATCTTTGGTGATGGCCACCTGCTGGGCTTTAAGGAGGCCAACTAAGGAGATAATGTACCAGAGGCACATGGTTGCATAGAGTTAGCTTCCTCTGGGGCAGGTGTCTTCTTGCAGTGGGAAGCGTGGATCCAGTTAGGCCTTCCGGCCAATTTGACAGAGGTAGGGGAGATCAGGAGAACTTGGAACGGTCCGTCAAATCTTGGTTCCAGGGTGTGTTTTCGCACAAATTTCTTGACCAGAACCCAGTCACCGGGGAGCAGACTGTGGTTGCCTGTGTCAGAATCAGGATCTGGAATTTTAGAGAAAACTTGGACATGGATTTTGTTCAAAGCATTTGCGAGTTCAGTTACATAATCTACTAAAACATCAGTTTGAAGTTGTAGTTGTTGGGGAAAATAGCAACCTAGCCTAGGTGCAGTCCCAAATAGAATCTCGTATGGGGACAATGAGGTAGTATTTTTGTACAAGAGCATTCATTAGATCTTTTGATAAATGTGCAGGTCTGTGTGCCCATTGTACGACTGCTGGGTACAAATTCTTAGGGAGGCAGAAATTGAGGTTGTTGGAGTACACTCCATCCTTCAGAACTGCCCCTTTCTGTTTCCACTTCTGTATTTCTTCAGGGGCAACTGTAGCCTGTTGTTCCAGCAGGATTTTCAGGTCAGTTGGAAGAGTCTGCAGAGTAAATATGGGAGTTTCTTCATTTCCGGACACTCTTCTTTCCACTTCCTGTGGTTCTTTTGCAGCTTGTTTTGCAGCCTGATCAGCTAGATGGTTGCCCTTTGCTTCATCTGAGTCCAACTTCCCATGTGCTTTTATCTTCAAAATAGCCACTTCTTCTGGGAGTAGGAGGGCGTCCATCAGCTCCTTGATCGCGGAACCGTGCTTGATTGGTGTACCGGTGGTGGTAAGAAATCCTCTTGTTTTCCAAATTAATCCGAAGTCGTGAGCCACGCCCAGTGCATATCTTGAATCCGTGTAGATATTGGCGCGCTTTCCTTCAGAGATCTTGCATGCTGAAGTCAGGGCTTGCAATTCAGCTTCTTGTGCAGACATAGTTGATGGTAAAGATGATGATTTGACAATTTCATCTATATCCTGTATGGTATCTTCCTTCTTCATCAGCATATCTTGAGCCGTCCACAAACAGGGTGAGATCGGGATCTACCAATGGGTCTTCATGCACAGTTGGTAGATGTGTTGTTTCCATTTTCATCTGTTCAAAACAGTCATGAGGTGTATCTGGGTCGTAGTCATTCACCATGGTTAAATCTTGGAACTCATTCTCCAGGAAATGACGCGGCCATGCTTTCAGGTGGTCAGTTGTTGGATATTTGACAACACCATTTTCCTGTAGCTGTGATTCGTCCATAGTGGCCCATGCTTTTGCCATAGGCCCAAGATCATTCCATGATATTGTTTTCAACTTGGTCACAGGGACATGTGGAATGGCAGTGTCCCAATGACGGTACAAATGCTTGAGTTCCGGAGGTAGATGAATCAAGACCATACTGTTGCCTTCAGAATCACAGTAGAAGTCTTGTGCAGTGAGTTTTACTTCGACCAGATGATAGAGTTCATCTTCATAGCAGGGTTCAGGAGTGATGTTTGATCTGTACCACATGGTACAGAAGGCATATCCTGCTCCGTCATGAAGGAGTGCTTGTCCATCATGAAAGGATAGGTTGGGATGCATTTCCTTCTTGATGGTGCCAGTGAGAAGAAAAACATAAGTTTCGTCCATGATGAATCCGTAGTATACACCCCCCTCAGGGAGTGGCAGAAGAGTGGACGGATTGAGAACTTGACATCTTTGAAGGGTAATGTTGTCAGGCAACAAAAGATGACATTGAAGGCGAAGATGCCTAGGAGTAACATGCTTAAGTGGACCTGGTTGACTATGGCAGAAATGTCATGAGGGGCCAAGACAACCAGGGGGTGGCCAAGGACAAGATCTCCAGTTCTTTCAATGAGCTCTCTGGCAGCAAAGACGGCCCGAAGGCAAGAGGGACGTCCTCTGGCCACAATATCCAGTTGGCAGGATCCAATAGGCCTTTGGCGGCCTCCAGGACCATGAGCCTGAGTGAGTACTCCTGTTGCATGGCCTTGTCTTTCAGAAACAAACAATTTGAAGGGTTTGGTATAGTCTGGTAGGCCAAGAGCAGGAGCAGAAGCAATAGCACGTTTGAGAGAACAGAAGTTGTCAAGGGCTTCCGTGGACAAGCAAAATGGGTCTGACTTGAGAGCATCATAAAGAGGTTGCATAAGGAGCGAGGCTTCTGGGAGCAATAGGAAATGAGGCCTAGGAAGGCGTGTAGTGACTTCGAGGTCCTTGGAGGTGGAATGTCCAGTACCGCAAAAAGATGTCTAGACAGACAATGGCCAAGGAAGATAACAGTAGGTTGGCAGAATTGCAGCTTGAGACGTGAAGCTTTACATCCTTGTTCTGCTAGGTAGCAAAGAATATTAAGTGAGCATTGTTCTGTTGTGGGTATATCATCTCCACAAAGCAGCAAATCATCCACATATTGAAACAGGACGACCTCAGGGTGGTCAGATTGCCATGGATCAAGGATAGAGCACATGGCCTTCGCAAATTGACTTGGTGAATTTTGTGCCCCTTGGGGCATGACAGTCCATGTGTACTTTTGTCATGTGTGAAAGCAAACAGATATTGGCAAGTTGGATCCAGGGGAACACTGAAGAAGGCATTGGCTAGATCAATTACAGTGAAGTACTTGGCAGAGGGTGGAACGCCGGAAAGGAGAGTGTGTGGGTTGGGCACTATTGGAGTGTCCAAAACTGTGGCTTCATTTACCGCTCTGAGGTCTTGGACCAATCTGTACTTTTCTGGTTCGCCTTTTTGGAGTCTTTTTCTTTACTGGAAATAATGGAGTATTGCATGGTGATTCACATTTGACAAGAGCACCCTTCTCCAGGAGTGCTTGAATTTGAATTGTAATGGCTGCAGCTTGAGCTGGTTTCAAAGGATACTGTGATTTTCGTGGCAATTTTACGCCTGGGATGAGCTTTACCACCACAGGCGGGACCTTTAGATGGCCCATGTCCTCTGGGCCTGTGGAGCTTCATTCTTTAAATCAGTCTTTCCATCTTCACATCAGGCTGAGCTGTAACCACTTGTCCAGGCCATATCTCCTCTCATATCCACAGTTGTGGCAGTTAGTTTTGCAAGGCAAATCACGCTCTTGTTCTCTCAGAACACTTGGCACAACTAGGAAAGTAATGGGCACGTCCAAACACTATGGGGCATTAAGCATCACATAGTATGGGCTGTGTTATCAGATTCCATAGCTTAGTCTGAACATCCTGTAATAGTCAACATAAAACATGAGCTATAACATTATACTGTAAGAATGTAGTGGCTCATGTCACAAACCACTAAACCATCCTCACCACTTTATCACAAAGCTATTTCATTGTTGCAATCTATATCATATGCATATTCAACACATATATATATAATACATATATCTGATATATACTGTAAACAACACCTCATGATGGACAGCCATGACATATGAGCATGAACAGGAGGTGTGGGCATGGTAAGGGCAATAACTGAGGTGACTGTAGATTACAGGCAACTGATAACAATACACTATAATAACCAATTCTGTTCTGCAAATATAGAACTGGCATTTTCCAGCATACAAAAACATGTTCTTTATCAGCAGCTTCACGAAATGCATAGTTTTGCAAGGCACACTGTACCTCCCACACTATTCGAGAGGCAAAGTGGGGAGGAAATGCAGGGGGGGGATGTGAGACAGTGCAAAAAAGGGAGAGAAGCTGCAGGCATGAAGATTAACCATGTGAGTGCTGGAAAGTAACAAGACAGAAGGACAGAGACTTATACGTTTGGAAACCAGAAATCTTTGACGGGAGAAACGGACTGGAGGTGCAGGGAGCTGCAGAGAGAGGATGAGGGTGACGAGATCTGTAGGACTGATGGGGGGGGAGAATAGGGATCCATCAGCATCCAGTAACACAATTATTATAATACACAAACAATCTTAAACCTTTGTGATCAATTTCTTCCTCAACCTATCCCTTTTGCTGAATAGCTCTTGCTACTCGGTACCAGGCTTCTGCTGTACAAACCAAATCTTGGTCCGACAGCTTCCCTTTCTTCTGTCAGTAACTTACGCCAGCTCTCTGGCTACAATCTGCCGCACAGAGGTACGGTAATTCCACATACTTTAGCAATCTTCCTCACTTTCTTAACCATCTCTTCTCCTTCTCTGTCTTCCACTAGATCACATGCTAACCAACCCTTACTGGGTTTATCTAACTTCTGTCCCATCCTTCCTATACAAGGCGTCCCAGATATAGAGAGAGAAAGGAACAGAACGTCTACCGTGCTCGACTGCTACTTTAAGAGCAAGCTCTTTAAGTACGTCTTCCCAAAACGTAGACTAGTCACTGATTCCGCCTACCCGTGGTAGCCGCGGATTGGAGCGTGGCGAGAAGTGTGTGACCAATCACTTCTCTCAACAAAGAGAAAGAGAAATAGGAGGGGAAAGTGTAAATAGTACAGTGAGTAAGATAGAAGTAAACACAGGAATCTGTGTGACAGACAATTAAGACAATAACATTTCAGTGTAAATACAGTGCATGCATCACAGTTCAAATAAGTTCAACAGTGTTATCCCTTGCCTTTACTCGTGTGGCCAAAAGCCACCTCCCTCAACCTCGTAGTGTCCCTGTTGCGGACCCACCCGCAAGTCTAACTACCAGCAGCCACAGGAAACAGCAACAGCTTCCAACCCGAATCCTGTATAGCCTAAAGAATTGGAATCTTACCTGTCTCAGCGCTTGAGACTGGAATTTTACCAAGAAGAAGTGTCTGATGAGGCTAGCTAAGCGGTCAAAATGACACTCTGGGGATCCCCAGGAAGCAGTGAGTCTACTGCCCTCCACAGATCCCCCCTACTCTTTTTCCTTACAGCCACAGCCACGTGGCTCCTAAAAGAGTTAAACAGGCAATAGAGGACCCCCAGGAAAACTTCCACAGGTCCACCCCCCTTTTTCCTTACTACCACAGGTATGTGGTACCTAAAAGGGGTTAAACAGGCACTTACACTCCCCGGGTACTAAGTTAAACACATACCAATACAAACACACCCAGGCAACAGATAGTCAACATGCAGGTAAACTAGGTATCATTAACAATACAAAGACTCTGGGCAAGTTATTACCTGACTTTGATGTCCTCTCGGCAGCAGTCACAGACACTGGGGCAGGTCAATCACAGGGGTAGGAACATACCGGCTAGGTGCTGCAGCAATCTCTACCGTGTATTCAGAGGTGATCAGGCTCTTTTCCTTCCCCCAGGATTCAGCCCCCCCAGCGTCTTCTTGGACAGCTGCCCAGACTGGACATAGCCCAGAGCCCCACGTTGGGCGCCAATTGTTCTAGATAATTTACTGCAAACCAATTAGTTTGAATGACTATCTGTTCCTGTCCAAATTAAAGATAATAAAGTTGCGTGCACGCAGAAGTAAATTCACACTGAGACACAAGGTTCAGGTAATGAAAGAACTTCAGAGAAGTTTAATGGCTTCTGACAGAAAATGGGTGCGCAGACCCTTATAAAGGCATTATTACATCATTGAAGAAAATCAAGATAACAGCAAATAGACACTATTGATTGGTCCAGGTGTTAAGTGGTTAGTTAGGTACCCTCCTATCAAGAGGTGATGTCATCCTTGACACGGGAGTGGACACAAGATGTAGGCGCCATCTTGTTAGCACGAGGTGTTCACTCGATGGGAGGGGTGCTTTGGCAGCCATCCATTTAGAGTGTAGCTGGCACGGTTAGTTTCTCAAGGTTAGGTTTCAAGGCTTTTAGTAAATACACATTTTATCAAAGCTATTTCTTGCTGACATGCAAATTCTATGTTCTATAGACAAAGCTTTCTTGTAAAACTATGGGGGCCTCTTAGAGGTATAGCAAGAGGATTTAAAGGGGCCTTACAGATTTATAGAGGCCTAATAATTCTACAACAGTGTCTCTGTGAATGCATATGTGACAGGTGACCGAGTGTGTGATGACAGGTGGAAGAGTGTGGGAGGTTGTGCCAGGTGGCAGAGTGAGGGGGTACCTGGTGGCAGAGTGAGGGAAGGAGGGGATGAGTGGTGGCAGAGTGAGGGGGAGACACAGTGAGTGGGGGTGACTGGTGACAGAGTGAGGGAGTGGGTGACTAGTGACAGACTAGTGGCACTAGTGGCAAAGTGAGGGAGGGAAGAGGTGACTAGTTGACTGGTGACACTGGTGACAGCCCTGTCACTAGTCACCCCATCCCTCTCTCTGTCACTAGTCACTCCCTCCCTAACTCTGTCACTGTGTCAAACTAGTCACCCCCTCACATGTCACTAATGTTAGTGTCACTAGGTCACTAGTCACCCCATCCCTCCCTCTGTCACTAGGACCAACTAGTGTCACTAGTCACACCCTTCCCTCACTCTGTCACTAGAGTGAGGGGGTGACTAGTGACAGAGTCTCCACAGAAGCCTGACAGAGGGATGACAGTGACAGAGGGAGGGAGGGGTGACTAGTGACAGAGAGAGGGATGGGGTGACTTGATTAACTCCCTGACACAGTGACAGAGTTCTAGTGATCTATCCACATTGGATGTTTGCAAACACGCTTGCTTTATGTTTACCACTCTAACAGCCGTCGCAATTTTCACAGTGAGAAGACTCCAGCGTCCACATTGTAAATGCTTTCCTATGTAATCATGCGCATTCAGCTTAGCCGGAGAGGAGGAGGAGAGCTCCCCGCCCGGCGCTGGAGAAAGAGGCAAGTTTAACCCCTTCCTCTCCATCCAGCCCGGCGGGAGGGTGACCCTGAGGGTGGGGGCACCCTCAGGGCACTATAGTGCCAGAAAACAAGTATGTTTTCCTGGCACTATAGTGGTCCTTTAAGATTGAGGAGAAACTGCTCTGAATTATCTATGTTTCAAAAACAAGCACATAATATAAATGAAACGTTTATACAAAAAGGATATAATCCAGACACTCTTGATGTAATTATAGAAGAAACTACAAAGACAGAAAGAAAAAATCTTTCTGTACCAATAAATGCAAATAAAAAAATTGGAACCAATCGTGCTGGATTATAAGAATAATAAAAAAGTATATATGAAACGTATCCTTAAAGAACACTGGCACATTTTAAAAGACAATATTTTAAGTAATATTATTATTTTTTTTTAAAACCAAAGTTATTTTTAGAGGAGCGCCGAATCTAAAGATGAAACTAACAAAAAGTTACACACACACTAAATGCTGAATACAAAAAAATTTCTTTCAAAGACAACAAAGGCTTTTACATATGTAATTGTTGTGCAGCATGTAAAAAAACATAGAAAATAGAAAAGCACACCTTAAGTTTCAAATCAAATAATACCAACAAAATATATAATATAAAAAATGTTTATAACCTGTAACACGAAAAATACAATATACTTATTAGAATGCCCGTGTGGCCTTCAGTATATTGGCAGAGCAATTAAACCTTTGAAAATCAGAATAGGTGAACATTGCTGCAATATACAAAAAGGCTATAAAAATCATCTTGTGTCCTCACATTTTAATATTCACCACAATAATGATCCTGGTAAAATTAACTTTTATAGGAATAACTACTATTAACTACTACTAAAATCATCATAAAAATGCTAGGAAATAAAGAAATGGAATGGGTCTATTATCCTAACACTTTACATCTATATAGTCTCAATGCAGACTTTGATTTGTATAATTTTTTATGGTATATATTTTTTCTATA